CCCCAAAACCCCAAAACCCCAAAACCCCAAAACCCCTATATAAAGTCCTGATATAGAAAAATTAAATAATAACGAATAGATGTTTTTTAAGGGACTGTATGGCGCAGCTCGTCAGCCATATTCTATACATGCTAGATATCATCAAAAACAACCAACGAGGATTTTGTATGTAAATAAGCCAAATATGGCATCCAGGTCAGATTTCAATGAAGGAAAAACAAAATCTCCTCTTCCAGATCGTAGACATGAGCAAATGAATTACTCAGAAGCATATTATCACATGCAGACAGATGAGAAAAGCTATGCCTATCTCAGAAAATACAATCCAGAAATCAGGTACAAAGAAGACGTCATCAATGTGTATAAATTTTTGATCCAAGAATCCAAAGAGATAATGCTACAAAGGGAGCAAACATGCTTCCTTGCAATGGAGTACTTCTTGCAAACAATGATAAGATGTCAAAATCTTCGAAGAAATGAAATAGGAATAATTGCAGCTGCTGCTTTAATGGTGGCCTCTAAATTTGATGAACTCGATTATAATCTTCTTCCCGCCTCAGACATAATATACTTTATGAAGTCTTCACCAGCTGTGAGGCATTACGATAATACGTTTGATGAAAAGGACTTAATCGAATGCGAGAAAAATATACTAGATCGTCTAGATTGGAGGATTCACCAATATACTGCCTTCCACTTCTTGGAAAATTTTATAATGCAAGGAATTGATATCAATTTTCATGATTCTCTTTCTGAGAGAAAATGATCTGGTGATATGACCACTAACGTCACAAACAGTTCATTTGAATCCAGTATTCCACCAAGAGCAAGCAAGAATATGTTTCAACACCCTAAAAGCTTAAATAGATCCTTCCAAAGTTCACCTAAATTTATGAATAAAGCGGCTGGAGCTACTCTAGTGAGAAAACAAATAAATGGAAGCCATAAAGCCACCCCAGAAACGAAAAAGACACCAGGGAATAGAATGAATTCTCAAGAGGTTAAGAAGTTCTTTGAGTTATGAGAATATTTAATCAAGCTCTCGTGCATCATATTAGAGACCCAAGACTTTAAAGCATCCAAAGTTGCTGCTGCTTGAGTTATGACTAGCAGAAAAATTATGAATGTCCAGCCTATCTGGTGAACCCAACTAGAAACAATCACATCGTACACTTACATTGATCTAACGAAATGAGTAAACTTGCTCTTGGACAATTATAATAGCATTAAAATCAACGGTAAAGTTTTTCCAGTTTCCGAAATCTTCGGAAGACAGCCGTACGCTTATAAGAAAATAACTCCAATAAAATCTCTGCTTGAGTCAGAAAAATTGAATATAAAGTGAAACGGATCAGTATCACCCACACAAAGTCGAGTCCCTATCAGACCTAAACTCAGCCTTAAGAAGATAAAGTCAACGATAGATGAAACAAGAAGCCGGGGGATAAAAAGAAATAATTACGACACATATTTACAAATGTCACCATCTGGAATCTTGGGAAATCTGCTCAAGAAGAAGCGAAAATGAATTCAAAATAATTCTTCTGTCAGCAATGTTTCTGACCTTAAGAAAGCGTCTTTTTCGAAAGTAAGTCTATAAGCATATGCTTAATTATTCATTACGATTAGAGTCATACAAGTTCATATTCCTTATTTACCCATTCCTTTGAATTGGTGGGTAATATTTTTATTCTATCGTCTTAATTCTGCTTTATAGTTTGCTGTTATACATTCTGATGATGATTCCGATACAAGCTCAGACACAAGTAGTTCAATAGGTTCAAAGAAGATCTGATTTAAAAATATTATTACTGTTATTCATGGAAGTAAAAGGCTAATTGAAGAAATTAACGACACTGAGGAAGGACCTAAATTAGCTAATAAAACAAGATGAGCTCCAAAGCCATTCTTACTCCAAAAGAATAACAGCTGAGGACAAAAACCTTCCAATCCTACTGCAAAAAGTATTTATGATAAGTACAAGACACCACTGGATACAAAACTTCCCAGAGCTAAATCAACATTGTACAAGATATCCAAAAAGAAACACCCGTCTAAAATTATGAAATCAAAGCAACCAAAGCTTTCTTCCCAAGATTCTTATCCTAGTTTGCCTTCTTCCAGACTCTCGAGCATCTCAAAGGCTCCATTAGCAAGATTATAAATTCACTGGAGTGAAATGTGAACAACTTCAAGCTTAAAGAAGTGACAACGAGAAACCCTATCAAAACAATTACTAAATCTTTCACCAAGAAGCTTAAATGCCAAGAATTAAGCAAATTTAAGAAAAATCCCTTATAGGTTTTTACAATTTAGGTGATATAAAATAAAGAATCTTCTTTCAACAGGTTTATGAAATTTGGGGTTTTGGGGTTTTGGGGTTTTGGGGTTTTGGGG